CCCCGGCCCCTTCCAGTGGGAGCAGCCTGGTCCAGCGGCCACGCAGTCAGCCCCAGACGCTTCGTTTCCACCTCTGCCACTGCCTTACCTCATAGCCACGGGCATGTCCCCTAGCACCTCCATCTCTCACCAGTCCCTTTAGCCTGGAGGGGGTTTGGCATCTATCCCAGCCGGTCTCCTGGGTTTGGGTGCGAGTGGGTGGATTTTCAGGATTAGCAGGAGCTGGGATGAGCCAATGCTGAGCAAAGCAGGTTTTGAGCCCTGATCTCAATGCAGAGCAGAGCCAGGCCAAGAGCGAGGAGGTTGCAGACATGGCAGCCTGTGTCCCCCCGGACCCCAGCCAGCATGTCCTCGTGGCTCCCGCGCAGCCGGCGGCTTCGGTCAAGAGAGGACAGGGCTGAGCAGAGCTCTGTTTTTTTTCTTCCCATGAATGCAAACCAGAGCCAAGCACCTTATAAACCCGCTGCCTGTGTTCCCCGTGGCTGCTCAAGGATGGGGAGAGCGTCCCCACGGCTGGGGATGGGAGATCTGGCCTGCACGCAAGGTCGAGTATCCTCATCTTCACCCTGCTGCTCCCCACAGCATCCCCGCATTTTTAGCTCCATCCCACACCCCTTCAGCTCCAGCTGGACCATTGCACCCCTCTGCGCTGTCCCTGCAGCCCAAGGAACAGGAGATGGGAGAGCAGCTCCGGGCCAGGGCTGCCTGTGCGCTGGGGAGGCTCACCCCACACCGGTGGGGCAGGTGGTGGTTAACCTCTACTTTCAGGCGTTTCTGGATCAGCTGGAAGCGCTGAGCGTCCCCTGCGCTGACCCAGCAGCCGGCCAGCGTTTGGAAACTAGGAGCGAGACAGAAATACAAACATCGAGCTGCCGCCGAAGGACGGAGGGAGAAGAACGGCTGCGGCAACCCATCCCGCGGCAAGATGCAGGGCCGGGAGCGAAGAGGAGCCCGGAGGAGCGTGCGGTGCTGGCAGCAGCGCGAGGCTCCTCACCAGACAGCACACGCCAGCGGCTTTTCCCATCCTTCACACCCCCACGCAGTTAATGCATGAAACGAGAGCGTGTCCCAGCCCCAGCTCCCGCTCCCCCACCCGGCACAGACAATAACGTCCTTGTGGCCAAGACGCCTGGTCCTGGGCATGAACATGGTGAGGGGAGGCCGAGTGGCTCCGGGTTTGCTTGACCTCTCCCCCCCACCCAAGGCGATGGCTGTGGGGCACCCGGCTGCCCCCAAGGGCAGCGCTGGGGCCAGGGTGAAGCGGAGACCGTGGGCACAGCCACGTGCGGCGGCGGAAATTCAGGGTCTCGGTGCAAAGATGCATTGACATTTGGTAGAAGAGGCTCCTACGGGCTGGGAGGGGGTCAGGGCTGCGCTGGGTCCCGCTTCCATGTGCTGCAAACCTCCTTTCCCCCTCCGTGCTGGGAGGGGGAAGGTTTAAGTGAAGGCTGCTTGAGCTAGGCTTGCGTAGCACCCAGAAAATAACATCCTCCGGCGGCAAACCCCAGGGAGACACTGGCAGCGGTAGCAAACCTCGTGTCGAGGGTTTGCCAGGTCACAAAATAAACCGGGACTGGCCCATTTGGCAGCAGGAAGCTCATTTCATAGCGTGACTCCTAGCCGCCAACGTAGGAGGCGAAGCATCCAGCCAGGCAGCCCCTCGGTAAGTCTCACTCCTGCTGGTGTCAAGCTGAGCGTGTAATCCTGCGGGCGTCCCTGCTCCCGGGCAGGCCACGCACGCGTGGTGGGGACCTAGCCCCGAGGCCCGACCGCCGCCACCGCCGCCGCAGGACGTTCATGCCTTCGCCGCTGAAACGCTGCCGCCGCCTCCCCCTGCCCAAATCTGCGTCGCGGCGTCAAAACTGGCACAGGGGGCCGAAAAATAATCAGTTGCAGCAGCGGGGAGGGAGGCGAGCGGCGCTGGGTGTTCGGTTTCACCCGCGCTCAGCCGAAAGCTGACTTGAACTTCAAGTGCAGCGAGGGTGATGCCAGGTTTGCAGCAAAACCCCGATTTGCAGCAAACCTCTGATTGGCAGCAACCCTTCCTCCGGAGGAACCAGGCTCTGGTGGGCAGGTACCACCCTGCTTCACGGTGGGGATGCCCCGCACAGTTTGGGAAGATGCCTGTAGAGGAGCTGGGCACGAGAACTGGCACTCCCTGGTTATTACTCCAGATAGAAGCAGATCAGCCATCTTCAGCTGCCAAGCTCCTCTGTCATTTTCTACTGTACATTTTCTTAGAGCTGACAAGGCTCAGCCGTAAGAAATAAAGGAGCAGAGTTTCTCATCGCTGCTCAACACGGTTATTTGGGGCGATTGAGCCCGGAGCCTCGGGCACCCGAGAGCTGGGGAGTGGCCAGCGGGCTGTGGCCAGTGGATCTCAGCACAGCCAGCCAGGGCATGCGAGTGCAACACAAATTTTCATCAGAAGACACCAAAAAATGTGGGTTTTGTGTCCTGAACATACATGGCTTCCAAAGGCAGCTGCTGCTCTACTGGAAGCGAGGGACAAACCCACCTCAGATGTCTGTCTCTATGTTCCAGGACACGATCAATGCCAGTAATTAAGTAAGGCTTGTTAATTTTCAGTGATGCCCCCCTCTGATACAGAGATCTCACCGCTCCGAGCTGCTGAATGCAACCTTCCTCCATCCTTCCTCCTCTTGTCCCGTGTCACCTCCACACAGCCACTGCAAGACAGCTCGTGCCAACGCTACGAAAAGCAAAACAGTAAGAGCCAAGAAAATCAGTTTCTTAAAACTTATTTTAATATCCATGTCTCATCTGTTGGGTAGAGCCAAAACAGTCTGGCCTGGTTTAAGTTACAAATTCTTCATACACTTTTCTTTAAGTAAATGAACAGTGTGGCAATAGGGTCTGTTATTGGAAGTGAAACCCATATTAACAAGGAAGGTGTCGCAGCCAGAATTCTACCAGGGTTCTTCACTGCTATCAGCCCTGGGAAAGGCCAACGCTGTCCCCAGGCCCCTGGGTGGGCGTCGAAAAGGAATAAATGCATCTGACACGAAACTAATCACACCCACAGAGATAGCACATAGTGTATGTCCAAGAAACAACAGGACCGGGATAGAAAAACCCTTTTAGAGTTCTCCCCGATGCGGACAGACACCAAATCATCCGTTTCAGCAAACGGGATGAAGCATCAATCCTGACTTCACCCGACAGAGGCTGAATAGACGTGTCGAAGCGCTGCTTGCTAAACAGTTAACTTCTGCACTAGAGCAGCAGAGATGGAAAGGGCTAAGAAATTATGGCTGAGGATTTAAAGATGCAGTATTTCTTTTCTTTGTTTAAAACACTAGTTTAGAGACCACCTTAATGCAGCTGCAAGCGAATACATCCAATGAAAACCCAAGAGTCACTACAAAAATAGTAATAAGAATCAAAACAGCAGAGTTCTCCACTTCCATGTCCATTGCTTAATTTCAACAGATTTTCAATTCCTCCATTTTTCAGTTAAGCACAAGTTCCTGATCAAGTTTCAGTCTAGTATTTGCAGACGATGGCTTAGAGTAAGGCAGACAAGTGGTAGTTCTCTCCAGAAGCGCGTGACAGAGAACGTCGCTTGCCCCGAGAACACCATTTGGGCACTGAGCGCCCCAAAGAGCCCACGTGCTGCGGGTACAAGCCTGGAGGTGCCACACAGAGCATAGTCCACGCCACGGTGGTCTGGGTCTTGGGTTAGGAAGTGGGCACAGGGTAATTTGTTTTTTAACCACCACCCTGAATTGCAGTAGCGCACCGCTCAGCTCCCGCCCAAGACCAGCTTCGCTCTCGAACACTGCATCTTTAAATATTTCTGGCTATGAACTCCTGCCACATGTTAGGAGCACTCCAACCTGGCTGCCACATGTTCAAGTGCTGTGCTTTCTGTGGGTGTTTTCAGTTTTCCTTCAATGTGGGGGGAAAAGGGGGCAGAGTGGGGACAAGAGGCTTGCGTTTCACAGCAGGCAGACTCCAGCGGAAGGCGTAAGACCCCTGGAGGCTGATTACAGAAGGGAGACAAAAATAACAATTAGGGTGTTTGCTCCTTTCAAGAACATTATCTCGTTGCCTCTCATTTGAAATCAGATGCAGCGACGGCAGCAAGTTAGGAAAGTCAGCAAGTTTTAAAAGGAAAGTGTTAAGGGAGAGAGGAAGCTTTGCTGCCACGTTACCTAACTGAGAAGAGCAGACAAGTCTTCAGCTTCGGATTTTTAGAACATGAACACGATATGTACAGTACTGCATGAGCACAGATCACCCCTGTGATCAACTGAGCCGTGCTCAGATCCCTTCCCGTTCGCTGCCTGCCTTTTCAACAGTCAACAGCTGTCATGCTCACGAGAGCAGAGAGCACGTCGTGAACACGTCAGGGGGGGGTTTTCAAAAAGAACAGCACTTCAAATAAATTAAAAAGGTGCAACCGTTGTGAGAGCTGTGAAGCAGCAGCTGAAAACCTTGTGGCAGTCTGAGCTGTGATCCACTCTGATCACAGGAGCTCTACGCAGGCCTGTTCTCCTAGGGGCTTCACCGCCCTCCTGAGAAGGTGAATTAGTCGTAAGAGGCCACCCCAAGGGAGCAGAAAGCTGCACCATCTGCAGAATGGACACTGCCATGAACCTGCTAATACGGGTTTCACTTTAAGACCAGAAAACTGTTTTCTTCCAAAAAAATGTTATTTTTAAAAAACTGAAATTAATTAGGGGTAAAACACTAACTCTAGTGCCATGAACAGGCAGGATCAACTTTTTTCCCCTCCAAAGGGCAAAGAGTCATATACCATCCCCAGCTGAACCTTGGTGCTTCGAGCTTTTCAGGAGATGTTACCTAAACTTTATTAAAAGAAAAAGAACAATGTTTAAATATCAACACTGGACTAGCCCAGTCTTTTTCCAAAGTCCACATTCTTCATATGAAGCACACACGGCGTCCTGGATTCCCCAAGGCTGCATGTTCAGAAGTTCACAGTACATGGAACCATGTCTTTGTGTATTTTCTTGAGTTTCCCCTCCTTGCTCAGAGCAGCCACCCTTTTGTGGTCATTTACTGGACAAACCTCAAGCCATCTCCTATCCACATGGCTTGGCCTAGATGCCGAAGGTTTTCTTGATGAAAGTTGATGTTGTCATGCTCTATGGATGGAAAAAAGCAAGAGAAAAAAAGCACCTGGTACAGGTTTCTTGAGACCCTTGCAGATTCCTTTATTTCAAAGCTGTTTCTGAAAGTCTTTTTGCCGGTTTCTCAAGCAGTTTTTGGCCTATTACTCTGTCTCAGTTTGAAGAACTGTTATTGGATGATCCAGAGGTTGATGCAATTGCAGCTCCAGCTGGGCTGCTTGTGGATACAGATTTGCGGATGTGAGGCAGCAAGTAGGGGTCACAGGCCAGCTGCTGGACATCTATCCGATCCTCCTTTCGGTAGGCCAAACAGCGTCTGATAAATGCCTGCAGACACCCCAAAGGCAAAACAAGAATTAGCAGACGGACAGAAAGAAGAAGCTTTCTTTGACAGAGAACTCTTTGGGAGCGGGACCAATCTGACAACCCCAGCGCCGAAATTCCTTCCCCAGCGACCCCAGAGGCAGCCCAGCTCCTAGAGCAGCATCTCATCCTTCCTCAGGAGAAAGCCCGGGCAGCGGCCCACACCGCGCTCTGTTCAGTCCTCAGCCTGACATCTGCAACGCGAAGCCACCGCCTGCTCCGCAGGAGGCAAGCGCTGAACACAGAACTCCTGCCGGTTTCAGGGAAACCAAGAGGAAGGAACGCCCAGTGCCGATCGCTGACCGACCCACGCAGCGCGATCAAACTCGCTGCGAGATTTACCTTTGCTTCTGGCGTGACTACTGGCTTTGGAGGGAACTGCACCTCGGTAGCTTTCAGAATTGTGTTCTCCTGCAGAATATCTTGTTGTGACTGGTTGTGACCGAAGGGCTACCGAATAAATGGAAGACAGTTGTTAAAGGTGGATGACAGGCCTTAAAACCCCCCACACTATTACTGTTTATCATCACTTGACATCAACGTTTTTCCAGGCCAGAAGCCTGTGAGTGTTGTGAAGGTGCTGCAGATTCCAGCTGGGGAAGCAGGACACATTGCTCCCACGCTTAAACTCAGCAAAAGGGACCAGGCTGGAACACGTCTGGGGTGTCTCCGGCTCAGGCAGGGGAGAACTCCGCCTGCTTCCAGACCTTGTAGGTCAGCTTCGGCACTTGCAAGAGGGCCTTCCCCCATCTAAGCTGTCAGGAGATTCACCCACTTCAATCTTTGCTGGGCTGGTTCCACCATTTATCCGACTGACAGTACTAAGCAACACAGTGTGTTTGTCAGGCGAGGCTTTCACAACACTTGGTTACCAAGGACTCGTGAAAACAACAGCTGATGGAATCCTTTTCCTGCTCCAACCTATTTCTTCTGTTGTTATAGAACAAGTTACCTTTTCTCAGGACAAATCACCTTTTCCTGATCCAGATTCTTCCCTTCCAAAAGCCACCCTAAAAACTTCTAGAGTGGGTCTTGGTACCTACTTTTTTTTTCTCTAAACCACTTGCAGCCATCAAGCAATATCATGCTCAACAAAGACTTAGTGCACTGAAAGCACGACAAAACAGCGCCAGATCAAGAACCTCAGGTGTCTGGCCCTGAGCAATACACTTGTCCTGCCCAGAATGGTCTCAGTGGGAACATGCCCAATGGAAAGAGTTGTTCTGCAGAACATTGCTTCTGAAGGAAGTGCCATGTAGAGCAAAACACCACCTAGTAAATTCTCCCACTTCATTAGCGTGGACTCTGCCTTGGAACTGATGCCAAGGAGACAAGGTGGAAGCGCCTTCTAAGCCTGAGGAGAAGGAAGCAGACGCCAGGGCTGCCTCCCAAAAGGTTTGGGAATCACCACTAAGAAAGGAGTTAAATGCCTTCTTACCTTTCTGCCATAGAGACACTGATAGAAGATGACTCCTACTGACCAGACATCAACTTTATTTGAAATCTTTGGAGGTTCTTTCCCAACCACAAAACATTCTGGTGGCAAATACCTAATCAGAAGGAAGTGACAACAGGTTATGAGCAGCATCTCCAAATACTTTCAATCATTTTTTTCAGCTTCTGTCATCAGATATTGGCTTGGGACTTGAGGGACCCAATTTCATTCCTGTGCATCTTCGGGCCAAGATCACCCATGCATACCCCTTCTGCAAACGGATCCCAACGACGCTCCAGACACTCGGTCCGAGCTAGTCAGCACAGTCAGTTTCTTTTCACCAGAGCACGTAAAATAACCCCATTTCCTTTCATCTTCAGAACTGGTATTTGCTGTTAAAAGGGCTTGGCCAATAATTCCACAATAGAAACACAGAGCCAAAATACATATTTCTAGAAATACAACGCCACATGCCATGTCCTAGAGACACTCAGCCTTGCTCAAACTCCAGTTAGCTTCATTTTTAGGAACAGAACAAAACTGTACAACACAGAATGCCTTAACAACTGTTCCCGTACGACTGCTGCCTGTAGTGACAGTCTGCTGCTTGGGCAATAGCTAAGAATCACATTCAGTGGCACTCCCCCTAGGTCTTGCTCTCAGCCATGGGTGATGCAGTGACAACATTTGGCACTAAGGATAAAGTATTGCTGAAAACATCTTTCATGTGACACTTGAAAGCGAAGCCCTGGCTATAGGCAGCACTATTTACATATATGCGAGATTTACATCTTTTGTAAGAGTTAACTATGGATTTTCACCTCCTCGTTTCACTGGAATACTCCCCGATGTACCTGAATTTCCAAACAGGCATGGTATTCTCCTCCTTGCTTAAACTGTTAGACAGTGCCATAGTGGACTGTGAAACAGCAGCCAAGCTCCACTTCAGAGCTTGCTACCCCAGCAGCATGCAGCATACGCAGTTTTTCACCAGGCCCTTTGGATAAGAGATCGTTTTCAAATGTATAAACGCTAACCCACTGAAAAGTAAAAAGCTGCCAGCCTCAAAAGGAGCTGCGTGACAGCAGCAGCAGTTTCCAGGTTCTCAAACCTCCAGTGTCTCAAGCGGTCACAGACAATGGCAGCACATACAGAGCTGACATAGATCCAAAGTTGTTTATAAACTGTTCTCCACCTGTAACTTGCAAGCGCCCCATGTGATGCTTACCAGTAAGTACCAGCCCCCTGCGATGTCAGTTCCATGCCATCCACAGAGTTGTAGCTGTCATCATCCATGATTTTGGAAAGTCCAAAATCTGTGATTTTTATCTCTCCACATGCAGTACCATTGACTAGAAGAATGTTACCTAGACAGAGGAAGGAAACAGCCCCTTAGGATACGCATCTAGCAGGAAAAAAACCCAAGAATAAAATCACATTGAACTCTGGCACTCTGCATGAGAGAACAAGGAACCTCCACAGTGAGCTGCAGCAGCCCGAGGTAGATGTTTTAACACTCAATACCCTGAGCTCCTGAGCCAACTCAGCTCCCACCAAGTGCTCGAACTGATCTGCCCATTCTTCAATGACCCAGTGGCCCGACATTACTTGGAGCCTCTGGACTTTGAGCCCTACCACCCAAACGAGCTTGATGCCCGTGCTGTTTGGACCCCTCCCAAAGGTCCCGTTGGAAGGGCAGGTCAAAGAGGAGGATTAAGGAGAGAAGCACGCATACACAATTATGACTCATTCTGCCCAGAAGTCTTGACTTGCCCTGACCTCTCAACAAGCCAGAAACTCTCTCCTTCCTGGCAGTGCTCCCCAGTGGTTTTCTAAGCTCAAAAAGGACAATTACTGCTTAGGCAAGAGTCTTTTACAAATCCATCAAGGATCAAGAAGTCAGGTATCACTGTTTTTCTCAAAGCCTACAATAAAGCAGCAGAATCGTGCGTGATGGCAGCGGATGAATCACAGCTTTAGACAACTGTAGGCAGAGCGCTGCGGCATGCTCAGACAACCCAACAGTCGGCAGCTGGGGGAAGAAACCGGGTCACTAGAACTAGCGCAACAGCACCACCTCCCGTACAGATTCCTCACGCTGACGCAATAAACCACATCACATACCAGTTACACAATGCTGATGAAGTGCCACCAGTATAGGCAGACAAGCCAGGGATAACTGCCCAAAGAGATGGCTGAATTTTACTGGACTAGGATAAAAAGCTATGTATCCAACACACACCACCCCAAAAGAGAGCACTTCCATCTTTACCCTCGTGATTCTGCCCAACGGTAAAGGGAAATCTGCCACATTTGGAAAGGACCTTCTACACGGCAGGTGTTACTGAATTCAAAGGCAGACCTGAGCAGTTTGACTGTATGTTCTCAGCTTTGTGAGCTGCCACAGAGTATGAAAAAACAAACACTTCCAAGTTAGCTTCTGCCTCCAACTTTTCAGGCAGATGATTACAGAAAGAATAAGCCAGAAGAATGCGAACATGAAACACACTAGCAATTATGGGAGCCTTTATGAAGCAATAACAGAAGCTCTCAACAGCAGAATACAAGCAGGACATTAAGAAACCAAACACAGACACTTGGTGGTTCAAGTGCTCATTCTGAACAAGGAGGCTACTTTTTCTGGAATGTGACTTCCTTGTTTTATGTTGCAATTCTGGGAGACAATACCCTTTTCACAGCATGTTCTATGCATTGTAGGTTATTTTTTTTCTTGTTGCAAGTTAGTTTTCCCAGAGAGCCCTGTCTCCTTTCTGCTGTCTGACCAAAGTAAACTTCCCCACGTTACTTATAACCCATTACCTTTAGTCAGCATCCTTAAGCACGTCAGCTAGCAGCACAGCGTACCTGGTTTAAGGTCATAGTGTATGATGGGAGGTTTGATTTCATTTAGGTATTTTAAAGCATTCACAATCTGCATGATAATGGATCGCGCCTCTTTCTCCGACATTAGCTTGTGCTGTTTCAGGTAGAAGTCCAGATCATTTCCCTCACAGTATTCTAACACTGTACAAAACCTGAAGGCAAAACAGTAATTGTAATTAAGGGACCTGATAGCAACCAGAACACGTTGTTATTGCTTGTCTGTAAGACTCACCTATTTGGTCAACATATTAAATTAATAGTCCTCCAGCCTATTAATCCCTTTCTAAAAAGAAGCTACCAGGAGCACAGTCCTCAACGCTCAATAGCACAAAGGCCAGAGATCCCCCATTAAGTGCTAGATCCAGAAGCAGAAAGCTGTCTCAGCTGGGGGATTTGCCCCAGTCAACAAGGAGTAGGATTTACTGGTAAAGCACCATATCTGACATTAATATGGCCTACTGGTTTGTGAGCTAGCATCTCTAGAAAACCAATGTATGTTGAAACAGCCTCAGGTATCTCTGCAGTACAGCCTGTAACATTGGTGTGGACACTCGCTGGACTCTCCCTAAAGTTTTAAGAGACCGAATACTTTGCCTGTAGTGAACGGGTCAAATCAAGTCAAAGGACACAGCAACATAACTTACGAGTCAGTATCCAGCGAAAAGTAGTCATATAGCTTAACTATTCGAGGATGATCCAGTTCTTTGTGAATTCTGTACTCTCTACACGCATGTCTGAAAATAGGAAAGTCTGAGCATTAGTCATACAAGTGACTTAATTCTATGTTCTGCAGATAGTGAACCCAGACATACCACACAGCAGTCCAACTTCAATCAAACCCATGCACATTATTCAGCTTAAGACAAGGCAAGCAAACGAGGAACTGCACAGAACAGTTCTTGAGAACCACAGAATCCGAGTGCACCTCAAATGCTGGCAATACTACAAAATAACTAATTTTGATTAATGGTACTGCTTGCCAAAATAGAATAACATCATAAAAAAATCGTTAAGGAATCCAAGACAGCTGAATACAAAAATCAGCAAGTTATAGAAAAATTCCAGGGTGTTAAACATCCAGGCTTCAACCTCATCCAACCCAACTTCCAGGCTTCAAATTCAGCTTAGTTTGTTCCAGTGATTTGTTGGGGAATTAAGACCACAGCTTTATCTTTGAAGCTCTGTTGAGAAGGCTTGGCTGCCGTTCTGCAGCGTTCATCTAACCCATGGCGTTAGCGAGCACGTGTGACCAACGCCAAAAGGCTTCCTGCACCTCCCTTCTAGGCTATGACACACGTTGACCCTTAATCGCCCGTGAAAGTATCAAGTATTCTGGGAAACAAATGGAAGAGGAAGGCTTTCAGGGAGCACAATGCAGGTGTGTACCTGGCAGATGGGCACGGACAACTGTTTCCCACAAGAGCAGAGCTCAGACATTTCAGAGAGGAGCCGCCACGTCAACACTTTCTTCACAGAGCACTACTGGTGCTTTAAAACCTTGTGCCGTAGCGCTTACACAAAACCACGTGTGTGTCTGTGTGTGCACATATTTAAAACGTTTCTAATCTGACCATAACTTTTGCAAATAGCTACTGGGACAGACAGTGGCTTTCAAAATGGGGCAAAACACAGGAAAACAAAATGGCAGCCTGTTCACAGGCACTGGATAACCAAATACAGGAGGAGTCTGGAAACACGGCTGGCTGCTTTACAGCCTTACTTACTTGTGATAGTTTTCTTTCTTCTCATCTCTCCAGTTTTTATTTAACTGGTGTATTTTCACAGCTACATATCTCTGTTCCGTTAAATCAAATGCCTGCAGAGAGAAGAGCTGAAAATCAGTAGGAATCACAACTTCAAGTTAATACTGCAAAAGCAGACAAGCTCTAACAAACCAATATCCCCACCCAGGAAATAAGCATTACGACATACTGAGTGAAGAGCAAACCCACATTTTGATGTAATTAGTTTCACTAATGAAACCAAGCAACTCTGAAAACAATTGAATATTCTGTGCTTTAATCTGACCTTCCCCATGGGCTCTAACTAATGCCGCATTTATGCTGACATTTTACCACCAGAGCTACAATGGGATCAGAAAGGCCAAATTACCAAAATATAGACAGTTAATCACACTGGGAAAGACCCTGCCATTATTCCCCCAAGCCACCTAACCATTTCTACATTCAGTTAAAAAACCCCCAAAACATACAGAGGATTTTCAATATGTTGTTTCACATTGGTAGCTCAGCCTTCCCATCTTGGAGCATAAGGTTTCAGCTTTTTTAGAAGCTGGAAAATTCAATGGCAGAACTGCATAAATCTTGTGCTGTATTTTTCCCTCCAGTTTCGTGCTATTTAGGCAGTCTTGAAAGAATGGACCACTGGCAATTGTGCTCTTGGAGAAATGTGGTAATCTTTTACCTGCTCTGAGAGCAGCAAGAGCTAATAATTTATAGGACAGTGCAAAATCTTATTGTAAGCAGACAAGGATAAACTGTGTCCGCCTCAAAAGTTGTATACTCAACTTCCTAAGGCTTAATAGATTGGCCAAGACCCTGGAGAAGAAGGACTAAGCATTTCTTTGTTTTAATAACATAGTTACAACTCCTAAGCGCAGTCATAAAGCTTTCATACCCTCTTGCTTTCATCTGTGGAGCCAAGGCTTTCTACTTAGTCAGCAAAGCCTCCAAAGAGCAATTCAGAGTACATACACACAGTTCACACTCTTTTTTCACTACCTGAGCAGTCCAGCCCCCCTGGGTTTAGATATCTGTTGTTGTACTGCATCAAAATAATAAATCACCAGGAAGTTTCCAATATCTGCATTGGCATAGTTATTTCATTCTAGCCAAATTCAACATGAATTAGGAACTACTAGGTAGAGATGGGGAGTATTTAGAACTGGAAAGGCCTTAAGCATAACAGTCAAACAGCAAGCATCCCAGGTCTTGGCCATGTAAGCGTGCTGACACACAAGCAATCCTTACTTCCAAGGAAGTCCCAAGACTACAAACCCACCCACCCTGTCTGCTACTTCAGAGTATAAAATGAACACAGAAGAAAAAAAGCCTCCTGCCCCTAGGAAATGAAGGCTTTGCTCTTATTAGTGGAGCTATTTTCTTAATTTATGGTGACGTTCAGACTTGCTATGCCATACTCAATAAAACTTTGCTACTTAAGGTATTTGTGTGTGGCACTTGAAGAAACAAGTGGCTTGCTTCCCTGTCCTGACAAAATTTGCAGACTTGGTGCAACATTTTCTTGAAATACACATTTGCAGGAAATCTGATCTTTGAGGACAAGGGCAGAACCCAAAAATCTCAAGCCTGCTGTCTAATGCAAGCCAGATGCAACATGTGCCTTGTCCTCCTTCCCTCCACAACCACACACACCATTGAGTAAACAAGTGTAAAAATTCTGCTTACTGCCATCTTTCACTGCAGATTCAGATTACACCACAGATTGCCACTTCAAATTTACCTTATATACTTCACTGAAGCCACCTCTACCCAGAAGATGTAGCAACAAATATCTATCGTTTAGCGTTGGATGGTCTTTAAATCTGGTGAGAAAAACACAGTTTAAGAACACTGACAGAAATAATACCATCTACTGCACAATAAATTACAGCTACTACACGGCTTAGAAACAACATTTTTGCATTAAGACAGAAAAATATTAAACCCCTGTTAACGACTGACAGATTTGACACTATTTGATCACTTTGCACTGATGAAAGGCTATATAATGGTACCCTGATGCACTTGGAAGCCTTTCTCTCACATGAACTTCAGGTTGTATCACCATGCCACCCCCCAGTCAAGTGACATACTAAACTGTAACACCAATTGAAAAAAGATGAAGTGTTTCCCGTTATGAAGGGGACAAATAAAAAATTGTTACACATTCTTGTCCCTGAATCCCATGTGCTTACTGTGAATTATCTTCATTGTGTATCCTTTTCAATTCCCTGATATGTAGATTTCTAACCCTCTCTAGCCGTTCCAACTCTGCCTGGATCTCTGCTTCTTCCTGCACAAGACAAAACCAAAAGGAAAACACAACACTGCGTAAGATAATGCAGCGAGCATTTCCACCTGATTTACGGAAACACAAACGTCATTCCACTTGTGAAGAAGTTATTGGCGAAAAACTTGTTTGGGAGATTAGAGAGATGATCACAGTCAACTAAGAGTCAGGTAGAAGGCGGCAGGAATGAAAACTGACTGGCCACTTTTGTTTACACCTACACACAGACAGGAGCAGACATATCTTCACGCCTTCTAGTTTTTAACATTTTCTGTAATTAATAAGCGCTGTTGCTCTGGTGCTGCTTCTTCCCTGATTAAAAGCTATGCCGCTGGTTTTGGAGGAACTCAGTGTTTGCTGGGATAACAGAAAGAGGACAGCCCTCAGAAATAAGGATCAGGGATGTCATGATGCCACACGGGGATGGGGCAGATCTGAAGAGGATGGAGAATGTGAAAGGACAACATCGGGTTATATTAGTGGTAAGCGATAGAACAGGTCAGAGTGTAACTTAGTGCCATGTGGAGCTTCTGATACGCTGTTTGTAGAGCTGGAAGTTCTGGTGCCCTCAAACATGACGCCAGAATCCGCATCGCTGTGGACAGGGTTGCAAACCTCAATTAAAATGCGCGCCTTGAGCAGTATTATTTGTTATATATGACTCAAGGGACATAGTTACCCATTTGTCTTGTGACTCTGCTCCTTCCCTTCTGAACTTGTTCTATTTTTAGGCATAAAGAATGAGCCAGTTTCCAAAAGCGGAGAAGGATAAGCACAGCTTCAGACAATGCCACAATCCCAGAACATGACTTCATTTTCCATTAAGGTCCATTTCCAAATGGATTCCTCTGTTCCAGGGTGGCACACTACACGCCAGCATAGATGGACCTGCAATTAATCCCCTCCAGCAATGTGGAAGCCGTAGAGCAAGCATGCCTGCAGCATTCTTCTGCCCATATCACTTATCTCTGCTCACAGGTCCATAAACCACAACGGGCAGAGTGCCAGCAGATTCCGTGTGTGCGTTAACTTTCCCTTGCCACCGAAAATAACAAGGAGTAGAGCAGCATTAATGAGGCCTTGCATTCAACTGTGTGTCAGGACAAAACTAAGTTTAGAGCTCAGGCAGCACCTGAGAAAAGAAGAGGGACTCCAGCAATGCATTTGCACACTTCCTTTCTGTTTCGTACGGGAAAGAAAACTCTCTGGCCTTAGCAGAGATCACAGCTAACCAGGATACAACAGAAGACATCTACTTTTTCCCCCCAGGTACTTCCATTTGTTGAAGTGTCCCTGAAAACTTATTTATAGGCTATTGCAACCACTTCAAAGGTAACCAATAGCTTATCTAAATATAACCTCACTTGCAGGTACAGGTCCTACTGAAGCCAATGTGTTTGAAAACAAACGTGCATTACAACTACCTAAACAGTACTAGTTCCCAAAAGCCCAAGAGATTTTATTAGACTGTTACTGATAATGCTGGTTACTCTGATATTGCAAAGAAATTGGAAAGTCAACGGTAGTTGTAGTTTTTGGTGTGTTCTAACAGTTTTCGGTGTGTTCTTATAGTTTTCTTCCCTTGGTCCATCATTTTGTGTTCCCCCATATAAGACACGTACAGAGCCCAGCACTAGGCAGGTCATAGCGACAGAGTAAGATGCAGCGGAACAGTGGAACTCCCTGCATGAAGTCATAACTGTAAACACACAGAAATTATTTACTGAAGCAAAGAACATCTTTCCGGAATACCACTGCCTTGGAAAAAATGATTACAAAATTCTGGCCCTCCCTTTCAAGCAACAAAGCTCCCTCAGTTATCAAACAAACAGTAGTGACCTCTGCAAAGAAATGCTATTGCTCATAGAACACCGAACCAAAAACCTACCGAGAAGCCTTTTCTGCAGTTAGTTCTTACCTTTTTAAGATGACCTAGTCGGAGTTTGAAGATTTCTTCCTGTTCGTGGTATTCTGCTAACGTTAACCTGCACGGAAGAGACAGACCCAATGCATCAGGTTCCAATGTGTGCGATAAAGCGAACAGTCTGCAGAACACACAGCCAGTGGAAGCACCAACTATTCAGTTATGTCAACAGCCAGCAGGGAATTTCGTAGGTAAACTCTGCAATTTTTTTCTTTTAAATAACCAATCTAAAGGAGACCAAAAGCTTAAACCTTGATAAAGCACATATTAATTCAAATCCAAGTCCCTAATAACACCTATTTAGGATAGCGACGGACTTTTAACAAAGAAAGCTAAACCATATCTAAACATGGAACACCAAAGCACAAGTATTCCACATCTTATCCTTCCATTTAGATTTCCATTTGAATTTTCCATGGGATAAGGGGAATAATCCCCATTGTTTGATGGCAAATTATATACAACGTTATCATCCTGGGTGGCTGGCCAAGAAAAGTTTCATCATGTTTTCAACGTCTTTTATAGCCAAAGCCTGCCACGTAGGGCAGAGGCAAAGCACAGCCTTACCCTAAAATAATGACAGATCCCATCACTTGAGAAATGTAATGATGTGCTGAGATCTTTAATCATTTTTCTTCATCAGAAAAACGAATCACTATATTAATTTTATCACTACTCCCAACAAGGAGTTTGGTAACAGCATCAGGCATGTGAACGTAAAGCTATGAAGCCCATATCAACTGCATCTGTTTACTCTGTAAACAAGATATGCACGTGACAGCATACAAGTATCCCTTTTGAACCTAAATCCCAGGGGGATTCCCGTGGCAGCAGCTATGCCCTGCACAGTACTCAGTACAAAGGTTAGGGTATGCGCTCTCCGCAGCATCAGCACCACAACTAGTTTGAGGAGGGGACCGTGTCCTACGTCTGTGCAGGGCTGTGGGACCTTGGCTCCCTGTACGGTAAATTGAGAGGAGGTCGTAGTCAGCTGATTAAGTGCTCGTCTTGAAATGCCCCAGCTTCTCTCTGCTGTTGATAACGCAGAGGGTCCACAGAGTTGAAGCAAGTGCTAAAGCAGTTGTCAGCTGATGAATTTAAGGCAAAACTCACAAGGCAAGTTCCCTTTGAAAGAATCTTGACCATAAGGAACTGCTTATTACAAATTAAAGATACAAACACAGCCAGTACCATAAACATTTACCTGTTGTGTCATCCCACATAAAAGCATACTAATTCATACACCCCCTACCCTCCCCCCGACAGCCTGAATTTTAATCAGATTCAGCTAATCTAAGAGACCATCCCAAAAGTTTAGGTCTTTGGTTGGTGTTGCTGTATAAGGAATAAAGACAATTGAATAAAGCAGCAACAAGCTTTCCACATATTCTTCTGCACAAATGAAATACAGGGCTAAACACCAACAGTCCACTCATTAAGCAAGAGATGTAATGAGAACCACCAGGCTAACAATGCCCAAAATAGCTGCCTGTTAGCAGCAAGCATTACCAAAATCAAGGGGGCTCTAAGACAAACACTACCCTGTTTCACAGAAACATGCTTGAAATACACTACTTCTAGTGCAGCTGATGACTCTAAGGTTGCCCAAGCTGCCCTAACGAACCACAGAAAGCCCCAGCAGATTAATCTTCCTGAATGAAATATCTTTTTCTCATTCACAGGCTAGAAACTAGTTTCAGACGAGTGCATGTTTAAATTTGCATCATATGACCTTCCTCTCCTTTTTAAGACACAGCAACAACCATGAACCAAAGAGGAACCAAAACTCAAATGAAGGAATCTGGCTGTCTGCTTCTCATTCAACTTTCAGAAACATTTATATTCAACTTGCCTAAAAGACAGCTTGTGTAAGAATTCCACAAGAAAAAATCCTCCTTCCAAAAATCAGAAAATTCTGTACCTGACACACATTGGTCCAACAAATGCATTTACAGGATAACTAATGATTAAGCAAGTAGTTAGTCAGTACAGTTGCTTCAGCTGATTTGCAAAAACAATGTTTTCGTAAGCTAAAACACTCCACATGAACCACATCCATACACTGGCAAGCAGTTTTTATCAAGAATGCCACAAGAAGCTCTTCTAAACCATAAAATCCTGAAATATATCAGTGAAGAACGATAAACTAGCAAGAAAGACAGAGAAAAAAAAAGACCTGATAGCACAAAAAGCCTTACTAGCAAACCCAGGTAGAGCTAGATTACATCAAGGCAGGCTCACAACATAGGGAGAAGCTCACTGGGTATCACAGCCATTATCATGATTTCCAGGGACATCAAGACCTGTGCTGCCATGTCTGCAGAACAAGCCCCACTACAGCAGCACCAGTCTGCTGGGGAAAGGCATCCCTACAGAAGTGGGGAAAGCATCCTCCTGTCCCTTCGAAGTGAAAGTTACCACAATGAACAGCAACGCTTCAAAATATCCCTGCAGAGACATTCAAGTCACTTCTCCAAACTCACACGCTGCAACGCAAAAGGACAGCTTTAAAACTTTATTTGGGTCTTTTTAAGCTCACTTGGCCAGAACGAGGGGTAGATGTCTCTATTCAAGCTACTCATTTGCAGAAAGCACGCAGCGCCCTCCAATACGGTACACCTGACCTGCAGGCACCAGCACCCTATTTGGGGGCACCACTCGGGTTGCTGAGAGCACCCTGAAGACCACAATTCACGCAGTCACGTGCCATCCCTGCTGTGACTGCAAAAGGCAGTGGGAGCTTTTGCTTCACATACACTTTTAAAGATCAAGCCCAAGAATTCAAATGGCTCTAGAAACTTGAGGTCAAGTCATGCCCAGGAGATTTCACAGTGCAAAAAGAAACATGTCACAGAGTTATGGGATTAGCCATCAGCAATAAAATGAAGACTGTAAAGGAAACTGGTAGAAGCGAGGGGAAAGTCTCTGACTTAACATACTTCCAACTCACAAAAACTTACAAAAAAACAGTGTTCTGAATTTCTTGTGAGAGACAGCTTTCCTCTCTAAGAACACTGGGACTCTTAAAGCATTGATAACTTCAAAAGAGGTGTGTGTGGGGGGGAAGATGGAATCTTCTGTGAGAAGGAAGAGTAGCACTTCAGCTACTTTTCCCTTTCAGGTATCTGCAAAGGACTGCTTTGGAAATACAGGTCAATGCTTAATGCGCTGTGTTTATAGAGAGCATCTTTTTTCTTCAGTATACCAAATCAATTGTTTGAAAAGCCTCACCAGAAAGTACAAGGAAACAAAGCCTTCTAAATGTGTACCATCTTTTCTTCCCATTAAAAAAAAAGGCATCACATATCACAGCAATACCAAAATCAAATCCGAAGTTGCAACACTTAAGACAGACACCGCTTTTCAAACTTGGCGCAACAGGAATACTGAAAAAGTTACTGCACTCAAAACAAAAGTTAAGCTCATACAAAGTCTGGACTCAGCAATGATCCTTGTTTTACTCCAATGAAAACTATTTAGAACTGCAGCCAGATGTTGCTGAATGCCAGGCTAATTCCACAATATTCATTTGTACATGGAGTGAAGCCTAGAGGCAAGGGCAAGATTCCATTTCCCCGTAGATGTTCTGTGCTCTAATCAAAGCAGGCAGCTTCGCAATGCACCGAGAAGGCCACGTAACCTACGTTTCATTTTCTGCTCCATTGGTCTTGTTCTTGCGCTGCTTCTGCTCATTGCTTGCTGGAGGGGTCTGCCCCATGGCAGGTGGCTTCCGTTTTGCTAACATTTTTCTTTGTCTTTCTATTTCCTCCCGCTGGGAATTTATCCTTTCCTGTTGCCTGGAAAGGAGACAAGAAAAAACCCCATGAAGCAGATAACTAACAGTACGTACTCGGTTGCCTTCAGCATCTGTTCTTAACGGGTTGGAGCAATGAATTTCAAATCAGTTGTACGTGTAAGATTAGTAACAAAATATTTTTGTACAGCAAAGGGGGATGTGCCAAACATTATGACTCAGATTTTTCAAGGTATTTTTTACATAAAAGGGGATTCTTTTCCTGGCCCACAGAAACCTTTCAGTAAGTGAAAGGTTTTATTCATGCTAAGGATATCGAAAAACAAGGAGTTGCTAACCTCACGGAAAACCCAGGTATCCATGGCAAGTCACTAACTTTCCACACACTTTTTCCTAGAAGGCTCTGTTCTAAATCTCAGACTTCCCTGTAAAAACTATTCCTGAAGTCTGACACTGTCTGAGAAAGTATCCTCATACTTCAAGGGTACAGTTAAACTATCCTTAGTTCTCAAATATAACCAACACCAGCCACTATTTCATTAAGAAAACAGTCCCTCCTCCAAGATAAAAAGACTATCGTAAAACATTTTACAGTGATAAAAGCACTCTTGAAATTTCAAGTCTAAATGACTTGAGCATTTACATACTTAATTCACTTTTTAAAAGAGACTGAGATTGCACATAAATATTCCAGAAGTATTTCTTCCAGGTCTTACAGCACAAACTAAGGAAGAATTAGGAAGTTCTTAAGCTGCACCTCCCTACCAGACTACAGAGAAGCGATATGAATTTAAAGGATCACACATAGCTCTCTCTAATGCAATTAATTTGCCAAGTCCTGCTTAAAGGTCTAGGCCAGGTGGGAATAGACTGGATATTTCCATTAACATCCTGCATAAAAGGGTCTCTGATCTTCATTTCCAGGTTTCTGCAGCCCCTTTGATCACTGTTACCAGGAGGCAAAAGAAGTTAAATAGTACGGATCTTGTCTTTTAATCTTCTCTACTTCATACTTAAAAAAAAAAAAGCTAATTAGCCTTCCTTGACTAATGTATGCAAGTATGCAAATCAAATTGATTGACTCATGATACATGTGAGAATTTGATCCACCCCTCCACCCTAAGCACTGCACAGCCAAGTAGGTGCGCTGAGAATACCCAACAGGGCAGCCTACCGCTTCCCAGCCCAGGGGCCAACTCAAACAATTTGATTCCAGTTCAAATCTCTTAGAGGTTTAAGTGGAAATGTATTTGTCACTTCAACGTGAAAACATTCCCCGTTGTCAGTAGCTTGAGTTCCTGTCCGAGCCTTTCATCCATCAGCCACACCATTCTCACACTCCGACATGCAAGACATCACACACAGAACTGCTTAGTTTTTTTCCATCTCTGCCTCTGAAGTCAAAGACAACTCTGTTTGTCCTCACTTGATGAGGTTCTGGAAGGCATAGCCATCTGTCCACTGCTCGGTGAAAGACGCCCCGTGCCGCACCGTGGTGAAGTGACCTAGCCTCAATCGATCCTGCATGCTCTTATCTCTGCATGCCATCTTCTCCTGTTTGGACTGAAAACAAAATAAAACACATGTAAAAATATAAGCCATAAATTAGCAGCTAAGAGCTGTGCTTTAAATCACTACCAGTTCTCACCACTTTCCATTGTTTCAGCACTGCTTATCTGAAACCCCGCTGAAAATCATTGATCAAATTATTGCTGGTGCTTCACACTGGTCTGACAGGCATTTGTTTGACTGCCTCTCCTTTCCAACATTTCAACCTCACCTTTCCTTCCCCATTACTGCTTGGGCACCTCACCCGTTCTATGATCAGTTGAAACCAGTCTAGCACTAGGATTATAACTATCCCTTTGTACCAGTAGCTTAGCTAGACTCCAGACGTGGCTCTGATCAGGTCCTTATTCGCTCAAATGACAGATGAAGGAAGAAAAAGCACCTTGAATCACTGTTTAGACTAAGATACAGTGATCAGCCAGCTCAGTCCTAGACTTGTGCCACTCCCAGAAGTGACACAATCTGTTAGGTCACCAACATGCACAAAATCTGGTGGTGGTGTCTGTCCACAGCGTTTCCAGTAAGTGAGAGGAAATTTCCACCGCCCGAGATGAGAGCGGCAAAGTTTCAGATAGTCAGGATTAAAGGTGAAGCACCAGAGCTCCTCCCTGGAGCTACACACCACCCACCTGAACGCCAGGACTACCTAACACCTAGCCCAGAGTTACAAATACTCCCAGAAAGGAGAGTCCCATTCAGCCAAGAACAATCATCTCTGTGACAAAATCAACTCAAACAGACTGCACGTACTGGCCAGCACCCTGGTACATTTGCCCATCCAGTGCCCACAAACAATAGATGTAATTGGCCAACAGGTGAAAGAGCAATCAAACCCCCACATTGTTCACTCATCAGGAAATCTTTCAACACTTAGGCAGCCTGGACGCTGGTGAACAGCAGCCTGGCACTTTCCTCAGTGTCTTTAATGTGCTGTTTTGAGTGTTATATAAAGCAACGATCTCCAGCTTTGCTGTTTGAAAGAAGGAAAGGTCTAAATCACTTGCCCATGTCATGGAGCCTATCTGGCAATTTCACTGCACAATGGGATACTGCTCTTGTGTTGCCAGAGCTGGACAACGTTGCTTTGCAGGTGTACGAGTTTCCAAATCCAGTAATGCCCGCTGCATTTAGAGCTCAGACTATTTCACTTAAGCAAGAAAAATCACTCTTTTGAGACTGTGAAAAGTAATCAAACCAAAACATTCTGAACCATTGCAGTCTAAGGATTATGTTCCTATTTGCAGAGGAATAATTCAAGACAGAATTCCAGCTGTCTTTTACCACTAAAGCAATGGGAGCAGGTTATCACTGCTCAAAAGACAACAGAGAAGTTTTCAAGGACATGAACTGTGACTGCAGAGATGTGGCAAGTCCCCTGCTCACCTTTTCTATAAGAAGCTTCTTGCTCATCGTTACACATCTATTCAACCGCTCCTTGTACTTCTCCAGCATCTTTTGCTGTTCATCGATCTGCCGTCTCAAATCGCAGTTGGCCTAAAAGCGAGCAAAGAAAAGCCTTTGACTTTAAACAACTCAAAGAGACAAACTAAGCATCACCTAAGAAGAAGTTTCTCCAGCTAGCTCTAAGCATCAGATTAAAGCAAGCAAATCAGCAAGATAAGAAAAAAAAAAAAAAAAAAGACTAGGTTCCTCTTAGCAGAACGGCCAAGCCAAGCTCTTCAATTTTTAACCCACTTGAATCTTAACACCCCTCCAGAAGAGCGAAATGCTATCATCCTGGTTTACATATAAGGATCTAAGGTACAGAGAGACTAAACACAAGCATAAGCAATTATATTTTTATTTTTTTAAACATTAAGACCTTGCCACAGCTACCAAGTCTCAAAATAGCTTAGTCATCCCTGGACTGTTCTCGCTCTTTAGCCACAATATTGGCAGAGGAAAAGGATGGGGTAACTCCCTTTGCACTTCCAATGAAATTCTTGTTCAAGTTACTATCCATCAGCCCTGCTATACAGCCTGCTCCCAGCAACAGCTGCTGGTTAACACCACCACAGCGTACAGCAGGATTTTGTGTGAACCATTTTCACTGATAAAAAGTTAAATTTAACCATTCCCCTTCCAACCAATAGTCTGGCTTCTGATTAAACAGCAAATGGTAAAAAAAATACATCTATTTTCTGCTTCATGGGTTGTTTTCCACAAACCCACATGTGCCTCTGTGCATGTCTCTATGAGCTTGTCTTAGCTTTTTTAGGTGCTGAGACCAGACACACTCAGAGGGCCTTCCCCCTTTAACGTGCCTTCTAACCCTTTTCAACACTTCACAACAGATGCCTCTCCAGCTGATGAAAGCTAAATCAATTTGAACTCCTCCATGAAGACAAGATCCTTGATTTAAAGGTATTTGTCTTTTCCTGAAGAATACTAAGGGATTAAGAGAAGCTTTGTTCTTTTGGTTTGACCAAAAGATGTTCTCCTCATCTCTATACACGTCACTGACTCTCATAATGAGTATTTCAGAGCACAACCCAGTCTACTGAAAGGCTAAACAAAAAGCTGAGTAAGCTCCTCAATACTTAGAAGAGGGGAATAATTCTGCAGATAAACTTGTTAGGTTAGCTAGCAAAATACACAAGTGTGCAATAACCGAAGGCAGGCCAACAATACTGCTGAGGACACAACCACCTGAACGACGACGACTCGGCACTGCATAGCCACAGTCACTGCTACGCTGCTTGTGGATTCAAGCAGCCCCAAACTGAGTATCTACGAGCCAGACAATCATCCTGCAAGTAAGGGATGATCAGATTTGTTTTACCTTGCGAGCGTTGGTTCTACGAACGGTATACAAAATCCTGCTCTGCAGCCTAGCCGGCACAAGCAATTCTAGGTATCTTTAAATAGCAGCTTTTAGAAGAGCTGTCCCACTTTAAATACTTACTCTTAATAAGTCATCTATCCTCCCCTCCTTCTTCTCCAAGTCAGAGTTCTTACTGTTTTCTAGTGCAGATATTTTTTCC